TTGCTATGTTTCCTATTATGTGGTCAATTTTAGAGAAGGTTGCATGTGGTGCCGAGAAGAAGGTATATCCCTTTGTATTTGGGTGGAATGTTCTATAGATGTCCGTTAAACCCAGTTGGGTCATAACTTCTATTAGTTCTTTTGTTTCTTTGTTAAGTTTGTGTCTGCAGGTCCTGTCTAGCGGTGAGAGGGGAGTGTTGAAGTCTCCTACTATTAGAGTGTGAGATTTTATGTGCATTTTGAGCTTTAGTAATGTTTCTTTCACGAATGTAGGTGCCTTTGTATTTGGGGCATAGATATTTAAATTTGAGACTTCATCTTGATGTACTTTTCCTTTGATGAATATGAAGTGGCCTTCTTCATCTCTTTTGATTGATTTTAATTTGATGTCTAGTTTGTTAGATATTAGGATTGCTACACCCACTTGTTTCTTGGGACCATTTGATTGGAAGATCTTTTCCCAACCCTTTACTCTGAGATAACGTCTGTCTTTGATGTTGAGATGTGTTCCTTGTATGCAGCAGAAGGAAGGGTTCTGTCTTCGTATCCATTCTGCTAGTCTGTGTCTTTTTAATAGGCAAGTTGAGGCCGTTGACATTGAGGGATATTAATGACCATTGATTGATGATTCTTGTTTGTGCGTGATTTATTGTTAGTGAAGTTATTTTGTGTAGTTTCTCCTCCCTTTTTCTTTTTGTGTTTTGTAAAGTGGGATTACATATTGCCTGTGTCTTTGTGAATGTAGTTATCTTCCTTGGATCTAGGTTTTCCTTCTAGCACTTTCTGTAGAGCTGGATTCATGGATACGTATTGTTTAAATCTGGCTTTGTCATGGAATATTTTGTTTTCTCCATCTATGGTAATTGAGAGCTTTGCTGGATATAGTAGTCTGGGCTGGCATCCTTGTTCTCTTAGTGTTTGTAGGACATCTGACCAGGATCTTCTGGCTTTCATCGTTTCCATTGAGAAGTGAGGTGTAATTCGGATAGGTCTGCCTTTGTATGTTACTTGGCCTTTTTCTTTAGCTGCTCTTAATATTTTCTCTTTACTCTGTAGGTTTGATGTTTTGATTATTATATGGCGAGGTGACTTCTTTTTCTGGTCCAGCCTATTTGGTGTTCTATAAGATTCTTGTATTTTCATAGGCATATCTTTCTTTAGGTTAGGGAAGTTTTCTTCTATGATTTTGTTGAATATGTTTTCTGCACCTTTGAGTTGTGTTTCTTCGCCTTCTTCTATACCTGTTATTCTCAGGTTTGGCTTCTTCACAGTTTCCCATATTTCCTGGATATTTTGTGTTAAGGATTTGTTGGTTTTGAGATTTTCTTTGGTTGACGACTCTATATCCTCTAATGAGTCTTCAACACCTGAGATTCTCTCTTCTATTTCTTGTATTCTATTGTTGATACTTGCATCTGTAGGTCCTGATCGTTTACCCAGCTTTTCTATTTCCAGCATCCCTTCGTTCTGTGTTTTCTTTATCATTTCTATTTCAGCTTTCAATCCTTCAACTGTTTGAGTTGTTTCCTTCATTTTTTTGGTTGTTTTTTCTTGGTGTTCTTTAGATTCTTTGAGAGATTTGTTTATTTCTTGAATTTTCCCCCATTTCATGGATTTTTTGTTTGCTTTTTCTTCTATTTCTTTAAGGGATTTCCCCGTTTCTTCTTTGAGAGTCTCCATCATTTTCATGAAATAATTTTTAAGGTCTGTCTCCTCTGCTTCGTCTATGTAGTGCTTTTCGGGTCTTGCTGGTGTTGGATCTCTAGATTCTGGTGGGGTCATGTTGGCCTTTCTATTGCTGAGTGAGCTCTTATTCTGTCTTCTTCCCATCTCTTCTTCCAGTGGGTGCTGGTGCGGTCTTTCCGTCTCCACTGGTCTCCTTCCTTCCTGAAGCTGAAGCTGGGGATGCTGACACGGAAGCTTAAGCTGAAGCTGGGGTTGCCGGAGGTTGGGGCCTGGAAGGGCACATGCCTTTCCTGAAGCTGGGCTCACTGGGGTTTGGGGCTTGGAAGGGCTGATGTCTTTCCTGTGTGGGCGGGTCTTCTGGATGCTAGGAGCAGTCCCGGAAGATCAAGGGGGTGGGTGTTGGGCAGAGGATCCCCGCCGGAGACCCAATATCACCTGAAGTTGGACTCGCTTGCCACCTTCCGTTTTAAAAAGGCACCAAAATAAATTAGAAAATATAAAAGAAATAAATAGTATTCTATTTAACAAGAGAACATAGACAACGTAAAGAGTTCAACAAACAGTGAGATTATATAGCAATAAAAATGTCTCCCAACTGAAACAAACCTGGACCAAATGTGTTCTCTGCTGAATTCTCCCAAGAATGAACACAACACTCTGGAATCCCTTTCAGAAAGCAGAAAAGGAGTGGGGAATGACACAAAACTCTTTGGTGAAGCTGGTATTATCCTGATATACATAAGCAAGAAAATTGTAGGCTGATCTTCCTGATCAACATGGAGGCAAAAATTTGTCAGTTACATTCAGACAAAGCATTTAACAATATATCAAAATGTTTTGCTACTATCCGTCTGCTCAGATATATACAAAGCAATAAAAGGGATACATTACACTGAAGCATTTAGGAACGGAAATGGCACAATCATCCGAGATGAAAAGAGACCCTTTGAGAAACGCCAACCATCCTTCATGATCATAAGATGGAGTAAATTCATACAGCCAGCATCATCCAAAGTAGAGACAAATCAAAGTCAGCAAGGACAGGGATGTCCTCTTGTTTCTATCCTACTGAGTGTAGGCCTTAAATATTAGCTACAGCAATAAATAAAAGGTATGCAAATAGGAAAGAAAGAAGTCAGAATATCAAATAAGATTGTTTTCAATCTAAATTTAAAAAGTCAAAATATCTACTAGGAAGCTTCAAAGACTCCACAAGGAAACTCTAAGAACTAGTAAACACTTTCATAGAAGCATAAGGTTACAAAATCAACATATTAAAAACAAACAGCTTTCCCACATACCAATCGGGGGCATGTGGAGAGAAAAATCAAGAAAATTTTAATTAGCATTAGTTTCCAAATGATTAAAAAATACACTGGAATAAACCCAGTCAAGGGAGTTAAAGACCTCAAAAATGAAATTTTCTGTCGAGTGCAAAATGAAACACTGAACATTTTGAAATCCAGAGAAAAACATGAAATAAGAAACTGGCATATGAAGAGCTTCCTTGAGTATAGATTGGCAGAATCAATACCAGATTAATGGATGTATTATCAAAGAAATCTACAGATCACATGGAATCCCCAGTAAAATTACAGCACCTTTCCTCACAGAAATAAAAAAAAAACGCAATTCAAAGCCTTATGTGCAAGTGCAAAAGACCCCAAACAGTCAAAGCAATCCTGAGCAACGTGGACAATGTCGGTGCTATCACCAGACTGGGTTTAAGGTTGTACTACAGGCCCCAAGTTCAAGTGATTCCACACTAACAACTCATTGTGCTACAGGCAGAACAAAAGAGACCCACACCACAAAAACCCAGCAATTCTTAACAAACATGCTAAAAACATACACCGGAGAAAAGATGGCCCCTTCAAAACATGGTACTGGGAAGTAAATGTCTACATGTACAGAAAGACACTGAGGCTCCACCTCACTCTGTTCAAAACTCAACAGGTAAACTCCAGGCAGAACAGTTAAGGTGTATGGAAGGCATGTCCATAAAGGACAGCACAGAAAAGATTTGACTGACATTACTGTATATGCATTCAGTATGCTGGAAACGTGGGTCAACATAGCATTAAAATTCATATTAAAAAGTATCCAAAGAAAAACTCGAGTGTAGCGTATAGCCACCAAAACTAAAATTAATAATGATTTCTTCTAGATGTGTATGATAATTCTCGCAAGCAAATTTGGACTTTGCAACTCAGATTTTGATCCATTGTTTCAGGGCTTTGTAATTCCTTTACTTTCCTGACATTGTTGAAAGATTTCTACTGCTTTCATTTTTAAAAAATTAATTAAAATATTACATCAATTTCCCTTTTGCTTTCCTCCATTCAATTCCTCCTGTGCCCCCATATCCTCTCAAACTGATGGCATCTTTCATTTGATTATTATCATTACATATGCATGCGTGAGTGTGCGTATAAATGTATAACCACAACTGCTGGGTCTTTTGGTGTTGCTTTGCTGTACATGTTTTTGGAGCTGGTTGCTTTGTAATGTATAACACAATTGGGAGCTCATCCCATGGAGAGACAAATTCTCCTTCTAGTTGTCATTAGTTGCCTGTAGTTCTCTGTCTAGGGGTGGGATCCCACGAGACTGCCCTCTTCCATACTGTTGTATGAAGGACCTCTGGTCCTCAACAAGAATCACATCCAGGCAGAGAGGGACAATGAAAGGACAATTCGTGAGGGTGGGTGCTGAAGAGCTTCTGAGCTGGGAACAATCAACAGCTTCTCGGGAAAGTTCCTACCATCTGCTCATCCTCCAGAAATCTATGTATCATTGAGATGGCAGCTTCTAGATCTGCATTTATCGTTCAAGGTACAGGGCCACTCCTCCTTCACTTTGACTCCCATGTCCCCATGAGGTGTGTCCACAAAGACCTTGTAAACTGGACAAACCATATGGTGGGCAAAGTGTGTAATCATGACTAATGGAGCTATGTGCAGGACTGTGTTGCCTGAGGGATGATGATGGAGGGTTTAGTGGTACTCTTAACCCCGCCCCTTTTGCCAAGTCACTCACCACTGGGTCTCCCATAGGATTCCCCCCAGTTCCCACTGTGAGACCATCTCCCCAGTTGTGCCCAACCTAGTAGTTTCCCAAATGCTCCACAAAGTCAAACACCTTCTGAAACCATGTGTGTGTTGCCTCAAATGAACTGGGATAACCTATATCCTACAGGACTGAAGGATATCATGGACTTTGGGGTCTGGTACCTACTGAGTCCCACGGCTACTCAACCTTGTCTTGGAGCTTACAGGAGACTCAAAAGAACACACTGAGTCCAGAATGGATGCTTAAGGCTTTACTTGGGTTTGGGGTGGGGCAGAAGGTCCTAGCAGGAGTGTGGTCTGACAGGTCGTGAGATGGTCTTGAAAGGTGTGTCTCATGGCTGCGTGGTCCAGGGAGATGAGTACTCCAAGGCATTGCTATGCATTGGTGCAGAGTTGGCTCAGGATTTACATCTGTGAGAGGCAGCTGTGACAGGAAGAGGAACAGAGTTGAGGGTCCCTCCCTGTCCTCTGGGAGTAGCAGAGTGGGGCTCATAGGACTCAGATGCCAGAGAACTTCCTTCCCACAAATACTGTGGAGATATAGCTAGCCACTCATAGTCCTGCTATCTTGACCAGGAAGGTCACTAAGTGTGTGTCAGGGGTGTGTCAGGTGGGAGATGAGATCACATGGGGACCATGGCATGGGAAGATATTTATGAAAAAGGACAAATTCCTAAGTATCCTGGGATTTTGCTTGGGCCACATCCTTGAAAGGCCACTTGCAACAGGCTATGAGAGGTCTCTCCTATCTCAACTTAAGGGTCCAAAAGAGGGACCACAAAACTCTGGTACTGAGAAGTCTGTGCCATCCTAAGGTTCTTCCGGGGGTCACTTACCTTTGTGATCTACAGGGACACACATTTCTGTAGAAACAAAGAAAAACCCGGGTTGAAGAGGTGCACTGATGAAAATCTAGACCTCACACCTGCAGCTTAGACGCCATCATGACCAAGACCGTAAGTGTGGCCCTATTGTCCTTGTCAGGGAAGAGGAGAGAAACTGGTGACGCAAAGAGACACCACAGACATAGACAAACACAAGAGTCACTTGGAGTAATGGTTGACACCGGAGGACACGAGGAGGGGTATGGACAGCTCTAAGTAACTAGGGGAAGCGTAGTCTCTTCAGTGACCTGCCTTGTGATCAAGTCACCCACTCACCTCTCTGCTTAGGAACAATGATGTTTTCCTGTAGAAAGCCTTTCCCCTCTGTGAATTTCTTGAATTCTTCTAGGGCCTCGTGGTTTTCTGTGGGATCCTTCCCTGGGCACAGATACCAGATGAGCACAAGGGTTGTGACTGAACAGCTCTGCAGGGAGCCAGTGGCACAACGATAGGACCACTGCCCAGCACTAGGGGCTTCACCTGGCCCAGGGGCAGGCAGTAGAGGAGGGAGCACTTAGAGAAGACAAAGGGGTAGGGTGTGGATGGATGAGATGGGCATACCCTCAGGAAGGTACAAGTGGGTGTTATATATCCTGAATGGCTGTGCAGAATCACACTCTGACCTGGAAGGACCCTGAGATACTCGTCTATCTCTCAAGTTCAGAGGGGCATTCCCAACCAAAGGCCTCTTTTAGGACCCAACCATTCAAACGGACCTTCCCATAATCTGAGACCCCAGAAATGGCACTTGGCAGTTCACTGCTGTGGAATAACCCTTCTATACACTGTGTGAATAGATGTCGCTATGAGTGGTTTAATAAACAAGCTGACTGGCCAGTAGCTGAATAAGATAAAGTTAGGCAGCAAAATCAAACTAAGAATTATGGGATGAGAAAGAGCAGGGTCAGAGGAGTTGCCAGACAGGTGGAGAATAAGTCAGACACACAAAATGGGATAGAGGTAAAAGTCACAAACCTTGGGGCAGCACATCGATTAACAGAAATGGGTTCAGTTGTAGGAGCTCGTTAGTAATAAGCCTGAGCTATCAGCAGAGTATTTATAATTTATATAAAGTCTCTGAGTCAATTATTTGGGAAATGACTGCCTGTTATTTGGGAACAGGCAGTCTGGACAGGAAAACTCAGCCTGAAACTTCCATCCTGAGTTGTTATGGCCCTGAAGATCACATCTGCTCTTTTCACTGAAAGCTCCTGTCAGTCTGACCCTTCTCACTCAGATCTCGCACATTACATAGGCAGCACCTAGTGTCCAGAACCTAGACACACATCAAGTCTTCCATGCTAAGCATTCTAGTCTCCTATAACAAGTTGTAGCTACTGCACATCCTCTGGCTTCTGGTAGTGGAGGCCATACAGGAAATGAGGTGCACACAGTCCTACCTATGAGATCTCCCACATATACTTTCTGCTCTAAAACCTTCAATTCACTGTAGAAGATGTAGTGGTCCATCACCGGCAGTTCATAGATGTACGTGAGATACGTGCCCCAAACTGTAGATGAACAGAGAAGAAAGGTCTGTAGTGTCCTGTTCCAGAAACATTATCCTGACTGTGTTAATGAACTGTCTAGCACAGCTCTTAATGCTTCAACCCTTTAATACAGTTCCTCATTGTGTGGTGACCCCCAACCATAAATTATCTTATTGCTACTTCGTTACTATAATTGTATTACTATTGGGGATGATAATGTAAATATCTGGTATACAGGATACTTTACATTCACTCCCAAAGGGGTCACAACCCACAAGTTGAGAACCACTGGTCTAGAAAATGTTAGTAATGACCCATGAACTCCTAATCTTATGGAGCCTGGTCATGCTATGGTCTCTTCATGGGACCAAAGTTCTTTCCTGGAAAGGTGTCATCCCCAGGTATGGAGTCTGGACCAATGGTGTCAGGGAAGATGAAGGCTGGAGTTTGACATGGCCTCTTAGCAGCTGCCCTGTCCTGCTTTCCAGATCCTAAGTCTCAGGTTCTCTGAGGGTCGGGGACAGAACTATCTGGAGGGAAACATGGTCTCTTCTGTGGACTAGCCTGTGACCTCCAAAGTCACCTCTAAGTTAACTGGACAGCCTCTTATGGGAGCTAAGCAGGACAGGGATGCTCCAGCCCCGGGAACTACTCCCTGGGAGGGAAGATCACATGCAGTCTGGGAGACTGTGACAATTCAGATTAAAACATCCACTTGACAGTAAGAATCTCCTGGGAGATTTGCCTTTGGCATGCCACATGTGCATTATCTTGATCATGACAGCTGAAGGAGAAAGACCCATGTGAACTGTGGTGGGAGTACCCACTGGGCAGCAGATCCTGGATGTGCAACACGGAGAAAGCCATCTGAACACTTGCATGCCATTGCCCCTCATTCCTTTCTCCTGCTGTAGATGAAATGCAACTAATTGTTTCCAGTGCCAGCTGCCAGGAATCCTCTACTATGATGGACTGTACTTGAACAGTGAGCTAAAATAAACCCCCTTTCCCTAAATCCTTTGGGACAGAGAATTTCATCACGGCAGTGGGAGAAGAAATTCAGACAGACTCACAGGCACTGTACTGGCCAGGCTTCTTTGTTTTCTCCATCACGAATTTACTCTGGATGCACTCGCCATTAAATCTAGAAAACAGGGGACATACCAGCAGGCTCTTGCTGAGCCCACACCTGTTCTCTGCTCAGCTTGCACGATGAGTCGGTGACTTCCATGTCCCATATCAACTGTAGCCGTGATTTCAAATTGTTGCTGTGATGGTGTTCCCTTAAAGTATGAACCTGCTTGTCATCAACATTCAAAGCATAAATGAAAGGAGACAGGAAAGCTGGGAAGACTCGTGGAGATGACACTCACATGGTAAAGACCGTTATCTCTATGTGTCCCTTTTCCAGCACTCTCGCTATAAAAGGGAATTCTTCCATAGGTTTCTCCGACTCTGTGATGTTCACATTACTCACTGTGGCTTTCCTGTACCAGGTCCCTGAGACCTGTAACAAACAGAGCCCTGTACACCCTGTACAAACTCTACACTCCCGTCCAGCCAAGTTCTCCCCCAGGTTCCAGCACATGGGTAGGGGCCTAAAAAACATTCCAGAGCCCAGGCTGAAGCCCCTGACATGGACTGGTCCCACTCCCCAGTTCTATGTTCTTAAAGTTTGCCTGAAAACCCGTGTTCCAGCTAGACAGGAGGTGTGTGTTCCCAAAGCCCCCAAAGTTGTTGGGTCTATGGCAGGGCATGAAAGTCCACCCCTGAGAAACATTCTGGTTCTTGGAATCACTACAGCTAAGACCATTGCATGTTCCAGCTCTGTGGTCCAAGAGGGCCCATGCCTGCTGGTAGAACAGCAGTAGAGAGAGCAGAACAGTAGAGAACAGACAGACACAATTCCAAGCCGAGGTGCAGTGCTACTGGCCAGGCTCAGAGGACTTAACAGCCCATGAGTGCTAGCTCCTTCCTCGGGGGTGGGATAAAGCCAAGCCTTCCCTCTACCCTGTCCACCATCACTCCCTGCCTCATATTCTTGTCTTCTGAGAAGAAGGGCAGGTCATCCTGGGCATGTAGGACAGCCACCAGGACAAACAGTGTGACAGTCAGAAGCAGGCTCTTCATCTGTAGGCTCTGTCCTTTAGACAAGGCAAGTCACACCGGTGACAAAATGAGGCTGTTCTGCCTCCTTGAAGAATGTCTTTTATGGCCACAAATGGCACTGCCCACGCCCCTCCTAGACAAATCCATGTCCATCATGGGGGTGGGGGTTATTGTTGTTGCGATCTGGTGACCATTCTGTGGCAACCGCAGGTAAAAGACACAATGCCCTGCACTGTCTGCACCATCTAAGGCTGCCACATACACAGAACCCACTGCATTGTGTAAATGACTCTGGGACAGAAGTAGAGAACAGACAGCCAGGAAGGGAGGGACCTGGCTTCCTCCTGCTCCTTCTCCACACCTGCACGCACTCTCCGGCCACCCCTGGCTTCCTTGGCCATCTTATCTAGAAGCTGGCTTCTCTCCCACAAAAGCTGAGAAAGGGACTGAGCTTCTTAACCACACAAATCCTGTCAGTACCTTGGCCACAATCTCTGCACTAGGAGCCCACCACATTGCCTTCTGCTACTCAGTGGCCCTGCCCCAGGTGTGAGCATGGAAACATTTGATGTGTCAGGATCTAGTTGACAGCTCAGGAGCTCCTGCACCTAGGCTGCTCTGAGCAACATTAGAGACCACAGTCACCCGAAGAGTTTCACTCCGTACACCAGGCAGCTGAGCTCTCTTACGGCACTCCTTCCTCCACAGTGTCTCGTCCCTCTCCCTTCTCAGCTGTAACATCACCCGTCTATCTACTCAATCACACTCTAAGCTCCTGAGGAGCAGAGCCTCGATCCCTGGGCTTTACCCTTCATTCCACAAGCTGAAAATGCTCTATTACATAAAGCAGTCACCAATCTGCATCTGTTAATGGAAATGTCCCCACTGTAGTTCAACAAGGATACTTCAGTCTTCTGCTGAGTAGGTCATCAGGACCTTATGATGGGACATAAGGAACTCCTAGCCTCCTTGACACAGCATCAGGATCCTTCCACACCTATGAGGTCCATCAAAACCTGTTGTGAACCCACAGGTGTACAACTATCTTAAATACGAGAGCCCATGATCTAAGAAAGGTTTTCCCTACCTTAACAACTAGCAAGCCCTAAAGGAGACCATGAGTCTAACTTTCTTTCAATGGGGAAGCAAGAGAAACACATGGAAGCCAGGGACTGACATGGGCCCAGAACCCATCATTCAGCTGCGTTAGCCACCTCATCTCCCGGCCTCAGCCTAGCTCACTCTCCATCAGGAACCCTGTTTTGTCATTCTTCATCCTGATGTCCTGATACCCATCTGACCCCAGCTCTAGAGAGAGATTCTAGTGCCTTTGTAGACAAAACTTGGACAGCATCAAGCATCTATAAACAATGTTAATGATCACTCTAGGACAAGTCCTGGACTGTGCTGAGGAGCTGCCATAATCCAGTCCTGTAAGCTGCTGCTGAGCAGGAAGCCTGTTGTCCTGGGTGTGAGAGGGTGGGGCCAGTGCTCTTTAGGACCAGAGATTAGTGAGCAGCCTGGAGTCTGCACCCAGGGTGCCAAGGACTTTGTGTACTTTATCCTCCTGACCACCCCATAGATAACCTTTCATGTGACTGTATCACTGATGTCAGCACCTATGGTAGTGGTGTGTGTAGTTCTTCCCTTGGCAAAAACATGAGAGCCACATGCAGATAATTGGCAGATAAGGTCTGCCATTATGAGTTGTTTATGCAATATGAAGGGCAGCTCATGCACTCTACAGTTGCTTCCGGTCATCTAACTGTCCATTATGTCCC